CCAGGCAGAAGAGGACGCTCGTCCAGCCAGGCAGAGAGAACGCTCGTCCAGAAAGCTAAGAGGACGTTCGTCCATCTAGCTAAGAGGACGCTCGTCGAGATGCGCTCAGTGGACGCTCGGCAGGAGAAGTGGACGCTCGTCCATTTTCAGTGAACGCTCGTCCACATACAGATCGTCCGCGCCCGGGCGCGCGATTCTTTCAGAAAGTTTCAACACTCTGTAATCGATTACCAAATCAATGTAATCGATTACAGGATCCAGAAGTCGTTTTTGGGATGCACGACTTCAACACTGTACCTATGAACAGTGTGAAGTCGTGCAGGGGGGCACGACTTCTTCTTTTGAAGTCGTTTTGGCCCCCCACGACTTCATTTTCGGTCAAATTTTGCCTATTTTGGTAATAAAGAAGGCATATTTGCCTACTTTGGTGCAAAAGCCTATAAATACACAACACAGACTCATCCTTATACATCATCAACATCCATCACTGTAAGACCTTACAGCCATGGCTTCCTCCAACTTCTCCATTATCCTCTCTCTCTCCGTAGCCCTCTTCCTGGTGCTTCTCACCCATGCAAACTCAACCAACGTCTTCTCCTTCAACTTCCAATCCTTCGACTCATCCAACCTTATCCTCCAAGGTGACGCCACCGTCTCATCCGCCGGCCAATTACGATTAACCAAAGTTAAAGGCAACGGCAAACCCACGCCGGCATCTCTGGGCCGCGCCTTCTACTCCGCCCCCATCCAAATCTGGGACAGCACCACTGGCAGCGTCGCCAGCTTCGCCACCTCCTTCACTTTCAAAATCTTCGCTCCCAACAAGTCAAGCACCGCCGATGGGCTTGCATTTGCTCTCGTACCCGTCGGGTCTGAGCCCAAATCCAACGCCGGTTATCTGGGTCTTTTCGACAACGCCACCTACGACAGCTCCGCCCAGACTGTGGCTGTGGAGTTCGACACCTACTCGAACCCTAAGTGGGACCCGGAACCCCGTCACATTGGCATCGACGTGAACTCCATCGAGTCTATCAGATGGGCGTCGTGGGGTTTGGCGAACGGGCAAAACGCGGAGATTCTGATCACGTACGACGCCTCGACGCAGCTCTTGGTGGCCTCTCTAGTTCACCCTTCTCGGAGAGCGAGCTACATCGTGTCTGAGAGAGTGGACCTGAAGAGCGTTCTTCCGCAGTGGGTGAGCATTGGGTTCTCTGCCACCACAGGGTTGCTTGACGGGTCAACCGAAACCCACGACGTGCTCTCTTGGTCTTTTGCTTCCAAGCTTTCAGATGGCATCACCACTGGAGGTATAGATCTCGCCAAATTCGTCCTCAACAAGTTCATCTAGACTCCATAGTCGTGCTTCACTGTGACAGTAAAACATTGCATGCACTGACACTCTTCCGGGTCGTCGGGTCGTCGTTGTTTCTTGCTAATAACTGTTTTCTGTCACAGAAGTTAATAAGATCGTGCCTTTTACTCTACGTTTTTTTATCATCCTAATAATCCGGACTGAAAAACAACATATATATAAAACAGATTGAATTTCACCTTTAATATAAACATCATACACACTAATCACGAATCACGAATAAACAGTTACAAATATTAGTCAAATACCACGAATCACGGGAATAACTGACTCAGTATCAAACACGATCTAATCGTTACAACTTCCAGGTAATCCACTCCGGTATCTGGCTGGATTTTCAGGTAAACGGTTTATTTTACTGTTTTAAATATGAAGATCACATGAGAAAAAACGTACGTTTTTCCCTTTAGAGAAATTAAGAGAGAGAAATTATTCTTCTTCTAGATCACTTTGAACTGAAAAGATTCAGGACATCCCTTTTCTGACTTGAGCGTCAGAGTGCCTTTGCAGGTACCCAGCCCATTTTCCCATCAGAGAGCATAGCGAAGGAAGAGAGATATCACAGTAACGGCATCACAGGAAGGAGCAGTTGAGATTTGTTAGGTTCGTATCTCGGTTTCCACATCCATACTGAAACATTTTGGCGCCCACCGTGGGGCCCGAGATTTGATATCCCAACGACGACCACCGGAGCTATGGAAGACTTCAACACTCACAATTTGATCCAGCAGCTGCAGACACAGATCGAGGCACAAGCACAAACTATAAGGGAACAGCAAGAACTCCAGCGCAAGCAGGCGGAGGAGCTGGCGGCACTGAGGGTGCAACACCCACCGCCAGAATTGTCAGCCTCAAATCGGCATGACAATAATAAAGGGAGCCACCATGGAGGACTGTCTGACCCTTTTGGCGGGGGGAGGAGGGGGCCTACTTCCATACGCCTCTCCAACCTGCTCCCATTCACGGAGGCCATCATGCAAGCGCATATGCCAGATAAACCTCCCCCAGCGTTAGAACGCTACGATGGCTCCGCCGATCCCGACAACCACCTGCGTAACTTTATAGACGCCATGGCGTTCTACACAGACAACGACCCCGTCATTTGCAGAGCTTTCTCCTTATCCCTTAAGGATGAGGCCTTGGAGTGGTTCCACACTCTTCCACGAAATTCCGTAGATTGTTTCGCGACAATCGAAACTTTATTCCGAAAATAGTACGCGACCAACAGAAGACCGGAGATGACTGCTGCCGAGCTTGTGAATACTAAGCAGGAGAAGGATGAAACCCTGAAGGCTTTCATGCAACGGTACAACGAGACGGCCCGACGTGTGAAAGATATCAATCACACCTTCATCATCAGCAATCTACCTTCGTGCTTAAGGCCAGGGTATTTCGCGGAACAGTTATATGCTGACCCGCCAGCATCTATGGAAGAACTGCAATCCACAATTGCAAAGTTCATCCGCATCGAAGATCTCCGGAATTCTAGGAAAAAGCAGCAGCAGGATAACCCCAATCACGATGTAAAGAGAACCGCAAAGCGATCGACCAACGACTATAAATCAGACCGACCGCCCCGAAAAGAGTCAGGGTGGACGTCTAAGTACGATCGCTACGCGACCCTTAACGCACCGAGAGCAAAGGTGCTCGAGGAGGCTTTGCACGCCGAACTCTTAACTGTGCGACGAAGAGCTACTCCAAAGAACGCGGACAGCAGCAAGGCCTGCCGCCTCCACATGAACCATGGGCATGACACGGAAGAATGCAATATGGTGAAGGACGAGCTGGAGCGACTCATCCGAGCAGGATACCTCCAGAACTACGTTAAGGACAAAATCTCCACCAGAGCCACAACTCCTCACCGTAAGGATCCCTCCAGACGGAGCCCCGAGCGATCGCCTGCCAGGGATGACCGACGCCGCAGGCGATCGCGCAGCCAACCCCGACGGATGGAGAGAGAACGTTCAGTCTGAGGTTGAATCGACACCATATCGGGTGGTTTCGCCGGGGGGGAGTGTCATCCTCCGCCAGGAAACGTCATCTAAGACAGTTAAAGTCGGTACACATGGTGGATCGACAGCCTCGGTCGATTCCTGATATTACCTTCACCAATGCAGATTTCCATGCGCCCGACCCTGATCACGATGACCCTATGGTCATCACGGCCGAAATAGCTCGATACGACGTCAGCAAGGTACTCGTCGATCAAGGGAGTTCGGTCAACATCCTATATTGGTCCACCTTCAAAAAGATGGATCTATCCGAGGACCTCATTGCCCCTTTCAACGAGCAAATTGTAGGATTTTCAGGGGAAAGAGTCGACACCCAGGGGTACCTCGACCTACGAACGCGTCTTGGAACGGGTCGGGAGGCCCCGGAACTTAGAATCCGCTTTCTGTTGGTCGAGGCCAATACATCATACAACGCCTTGTTAGGACGACCTTGTTTGAATGCATTTGGAGCCATTGTGTCCACCCCTCACCTGGCCATGAAGTTTCCCACGGAGAGTGGCACTATTTGCACCGTGAGAGCGGATCAGCGAAAGGCTCGACAATGTTATGTTGTCGGGCTTAAAGTCACCCCTTTTGTACCAACCAAAAGGGCGAGAGGAGTTGAAATAGCGGCGGTCAACTTGGACCCCCGCACTAACATTGACGAACGTCTTCATCCACAAGGCGATGTCAAATTCCTTTCATTGGCAACGGACCCGTCCAAAACCACAACCATTGGCGGGGACCTCGCTTTGAAGGATGAACAGGATCTGGGACGTATGCTCCGAACCAACGCGGATTTGTTCGCGTGGACGGCCTCCGATATGCCAGGAATCCACCCCGGAGTCATGGCCCATAAGTTGTCCATCTTTAGAGAGGCACGCCCCGTCGCGCAAAAAAAGCGACGGTTCGGAGAAGAGAAGCGCAAGGCCATTCAGGTCGAGGTCGAGAAGTTGATGAACGCCCAGTTCATCCGAGAGTTAAATTACACTACGTGGTTGTCGAACGTAGTCATGGTCAAGAAGTCGAACGGCCAGTGGAGAATGTGTGTCGACTTCACCGACCTCAACAAAGCGTGCCCTAAAGATTCATATCCCTTGCCTAGCATCGATTGGTTGGTAGATGGGGCTTCCGGCCATGTTGTACTCAGCTTCCTCGACGCATACTCGGGCTACAACCCAATCCCCATGTACACACCTGATCAAAGTAAGACAGCTTTCATTACCGAGCGCGTCAATTATTGTTATGAAGTAATGCCGTTCGGTTTGAAGAATGCCGGGGCTACATACCAACGCCTCATGGATAAAGTTTTCCATCGTCAGATGGGCCGATGCATGGATGTTTACGTCGACGACATGGTCATTCGGAGCCATTCTATAGAGCAACATTTACAAGATTTACANCCAGGCAGAAGAGGACGCTCGTCCAGCCAGGCAGAGAGAACGCTCGTCCAGAAAGCTAAGAGGACGTTCGTCCATCTAGCTAAGAGGACGCTCGTCGAGATGCGCTCAGTGGACGCTCGGCAGGAGAAGTGGACGCTCGTCCATTTTCAGTGAACGCTCGTCCACATACAGATCGTCCGCGCCCGGGCGCGCGATTCTTTCAGAAAGTTTCAACACTCTGTAATCGATTACCAAATCAATGTAATCGATTACAGGATCCAGAAGTCGTTTTTGGGATGCACGACTTCAACACTGTACCTATGAACAGTGTGAAGTCGTGCAGGGGGGCACGACTTCTTCTTTTGAAGTCGTTTTGGCCCCCCACGACTTCATTTTCGGTCAAATTTTGCCTATTTTGGTAATAAAGAAGGCATATTTGCCTACTTTGGTGCAAAAGCCTATAAATACACAACACAGACTCATCCTTATACATCATCAACATCCATCACTGTAAGACCTTACAGCCATGGCTTCCTCCAACTTCTCCATTATCCTCTCTCTCTCCGTAGCCCTCTTCCTGGTGCTTCTCACCCATGCAAACTCAACCAACGTCTTCTCCTTCAACTTCCAATCCTTCGACTCATCCAACCTTATCCTCCAAGGTGACGCCACCGTCTCATCCGCCGGCCAATTACGATTAACCAAAGTTAAAGGCAACGGCAAACCCACGCCGGCATCTCTGGGCCGCGCCTTCTACTCCGCCCCCATCCAAATCTGGGACAGCACCACTGGCAGCGTCGCCAGCTTCGCCACCTCCTTCACTTTCAAAATCTTCGCTCCCAACAAGTCAAGCACCGCCGATGGGCTTGCATTTGCTCTCGTACCCGTCGGGTCTGAGCCCAAATCCAACGCCGGTTATCTGGGTCTTTTCGACAACGCCACCTACGACAGCTCCGCCCAGACTGTGGCTGTGGAGTTCGACACCTACTCGAACCCTAAGTGGGACCCGGAACCCCGTCACATTGGCATCGACGTGAACTCCATCGAGTCTATCAGATGGGCGTCGTGGGGTTTGGCGAACGGGCAAAACGCGGAGATTCTGATCACGTACGACGCCTCGACGCAGCTCTTGGTGGCCTCTCTAGTTCACCCTTCTCGGAGAGCGAGCTACATCGTGTCTGAGAGAGTGGACCTGAAGAGCGTTCTTCCGCAGTGGGTGAGCATTGGGTTCTCTGCCACCACAGGGTTGCTTGACGGGTCAACCGAAACCCACGACGTGCTCTCTTGGTCTTTTGCTTCCAAGCTTTCAGATGGCATCACCACTGGAGGTATAGATCTCGCCAAATTCGTCCTCAACAAGTTCATCTAGACTCCATAGTCGTGCTTCACTGTGACAGTAAAACATTGCATGCACTGACACTCTTCCGGGTCGTCGGGTCGTCGTTGTTTCTTGCTAATAACTGTTTTCTGTCACAGAAGTTAATAAGATCGTGCCTTTTACTCTACGTTTTTTTATCATCCTAATAATCCGGACTGAAAAACAACATATATATAAAACAGATTGAATTTCACCTTTAATATAAACATCATACACACTAATCACGAATCACGAATAAACAGTTACAAATATTAGTCAAATACCACGAATCACGGGAATAACTGACTCAGTATCAAACACGATCTAATCGTTACAACTTCCAGGTAATCCACTCCGGTATCTGGCTGGATTTTCAGGTAAACGGTTTATTTTACTGTTTTAAATATGAAGATCACATGAGAAAAAACGTACGTTTTTCCCTTTAGAGAAATTAAGAGAGAGAAATTATTCTTCTTCTAGATCACTTTGAACTGAAAAGATTCAGGACATCCCTTTTCTGACTTGAGCGTCAGAGTGCCTTTGCAGGTACCCAGCCCATTTTCCCATCAGAGAGCATAGCGAAGGAAGAGAGATATCACAGTAACGGCATCACAGGAAGGAGCAGTTGAGATTTGTTAGGTTCGTATCTCGGTTTCCACATCCATACTGAAACATTTTGGCGCCCACCGTGGGGCCCGAGATTTGATATCCCAACGACGACCACCGGAGCTATGGAAGACTTCAACACTCACAATTTGATCCAGCAGCTGCAGACACAGATCGAGGCACAAGCACAAACTATAAGGGAACAGCAAGAACTCCAGCGCAAGCAGGCGGAGGAGCTGGCGGCACTGAGGGTGCAACACCCACCGCCAGAATTGTCAGCCTCAAATCGGCATGACAATAATAAAGGGAGCCACCATGGAGGACTGTCTGACCCTTTTGGCGGGGGGAGGAGGGGGCCTACTTCCATACGCCTCTCCAACCTGCTCCCATTCACGGAGGCCATCATGCAAGCGCATATGCCAGATAAACCTCCCCCAGCGTTAGAACGCTACGATGGCTCCGCCGATCCCGACAACCACCTGCGTAACTTTATAGACGCCATGGCGTTCTACACAGACAACGACCCCGTCATTTGCAGAGCTTTCTCCTTATCCCTTAAGGATGAGGCCTTGGAGTGGTTCCACACTCTTCCACGTAATTCCGTAGATTGTTTCGCGACAATCGAAACTTTATTCCGTAAATATTACGCGACCAACAGAAGACCGGAGATGACTTCTGTCGAGCTTGTGAATACTAAGCAGGAGAAGGATGAAACCCTGAAGGCTTTCATGCAACGGTACAACGAGACGGCCCGACGTGTGAAAGATATCAATCACACCTTCATCATCAGCAATCTACCTTCGTGCTTAAGGCCGGGGTATTTTGCGGAACAGTTATATGCTGACCCGCCAGCATCTATGGAAGAACTGCAATCCACAATTGCAAAGTTCATCCGCATCGAAGATCTCCGGAATTCTAGGAAAAAGCAGCAGCAGGATAACCCCAATCACGATGTAAAGAGAACCGCAAAGCGATCGACCAACGACTATAAATCAGACCGACCGCCCCGAAAAGAGTCAGGGTGGACGTCTAAGTACGATCGCTACGCGACCCTTAACGCACCGAGAGCAAAGGTGCTCGAGGAGGCTTTGCACGCCGAACTCTTAACTGTGCGACGAAGAGCTACTCCAAAGAACGCGGACAGCAGCAAGGCCTGCCGCCTCCACATGAACCATGGGCATGACACGGAAGAATGCAATATGGTGAAGGACGAGCTGGAGCGACTCATCCGAGCAGGATACCTCCAGAACTACGTTAAGGACAAAATCTCCACCAGAGCCACAACTCCTCACCGTAAGGATCCCTCCAGACGGAGCCCCGAGCGATCGCCTGCCAGGGATGACCGACGCCGCAGGCGATCGCGCAGCCAACCCCGACGGATGGAGAGAGAACGTTCAGTCTGAGGTTGAATCGACACCATATCGGGTGGTTTCGCCGGGGGGGAGTGTCATCCTCCGCCAGGAAACGTCATCTAAGACAGTTAAAGTCGGTACACATGGTGGATCGACAGCCTCGGTCGATTCCTGATATTACCTTCACCAATGCAGATTTCCATGCGCCCGACCCTGATCACGATGACCCTATGGTCATCACGGCCGAAATAGCTCGATACGACGTCAGCAAGGTACTCGTCGATC